AAAAAAAAACATTACACAAACCGAATTTGTGCACTAAGGTGTGGGTGTATGTTGTGGTGAATCTTGGGTTGGGGGACGGGTGTTGATAGTGCAAAATTAATACCATAATATATCTTTGTGCAGAGTTGGCAAAAGTACAGACATTCTGTACTTAAGTAGAAGTGCAAATACTACTGTTAGGGTGATTTGGTTAAAAGTTGCCATTGCCAGTGATTAAATTTGTAAACCTTGTCTTAAACTGCATGTTTAGATGTTTTTCTGTTCCTCCCCTACGTCTAAGATGTGGTGATGCTATAGCTATAGAGTTTAACTGCAGGCACATTCTATATAAAGACTCAGTTGTCCGTATTTGGTAAGGAATGTTTACTTCCTGCCCTTTATAGGCTCACCTGTGCTTGTATATAGTGGACCGTTAAAGGGGTTAAACCGTATACAGGGGTGGGGTGAGATGACCGTTTTTTAAACCAGAGATGTTGTTAAAATGGTTGTAAACAGGAAAACACGTATACAGAGATGCACACACACACACACACAGTGCCCTTAACTTTTATGATAATATGGGTTTTACAATAGGTGGTGCTTGTGCTCACTGAATAAAGGCTGCAAGGGGACGCTGGTTATTTGAAGTTGACTGGGATCAGGTGAGGAGCTTTTAGCTCCAAGAACCGACCAGGCTTCCCTTGCAAGTTAAAACCGATCGATCTCTGTTTGTCTTGCTTTGTTCATAGGAATAAGTCTCAGTCAGCGAGGCCTTCAAGCGCAGGCCTAACAATTACTGTTAAAAAATACTCATAATACTAGTAAAGTTTTAGTGCTGATTCAACTTCTTTACTCAAGTAAAAGTGAAAGGTAAGAAAGTAAAAAATAGCTCATCAAGGGATGTTTCTATTTTTGTGTAAAGCCAACTGAACCTTGTTCTATGTTAACATAATGATAAAATAATATCAGTAGATGGGAATAGAACCTTTAGTCTAACTTTTTAAAATTCTAATTATACTCAGCCTGAATCTGAAGAAAAAGAAGGGAAATAAAAAAGATATATCTGTTTTCTGTTGTCTACATTGCAGAGGGTGACTTTGCCTCTAAACAGGAAAATAAGCATAGTCAGAGACCCTATCAGCAAACCCTAATATTGGTTGTAATGGCTCATTGTGGGGAAAACAATCACAACTCATAATAATTTCTATTGAGAGCTCCAGTATATTGTCTTAGTGTACGGGCTGTGATCAGCGTAACTGATGCTTTTTGTGAATTTACAGCACTTATTTCAACCAGATGTCAGCAGATGTTTTATGAGTTGTCCTGACTGATTTCCATCTTCTACACTGACAGTACACTGTTTATGCAGTCTGATTTCTAGACAGTATAAAGTTGATATGAAGGTGGAATTCAGTCAGTGGATCTCAGCATCATCAACTAAAAATCATATGAATCTCTGCTACACTTGATGTGACCCAACTCTGATTATGAAGCCACAGCCGCTGTGCAGCAGTCAGACACTGTTGTTTAGTCAAAGGAGCTTGCAAAGAAAAGCGTCTGGACTTCTTTTAGTTGCTTGAAGATGTTTCACCTCTCATCCGAGAAGCTTCTTCAGTTCTAAGGTCAAATGGCGGAGAGTCCCAGATATAAACCTAGTGGGAGTTTCCCCCCAAAGAGTCCAGACGCTTTTCTTTGCAAGCTCCTTTGACTACGATGACCTGGATGACTGAGAACCTTCACAGACACACTGTTCTTTACTTTAAATCCATCAAAGTACAGCAAACTAAATTGTTTATCCTGGACTAACCTGCAAAGGATTTTATGCAGTCTGTATCAGTTTGATGTGCAGTATGTTTCACAATATGAAAAAACATAATCTACAGACCTAATATTTGATTTAAAAACATGATGACTTACATATAATCAAATCCCACTGAGGAGTCCTTACCCTTAAATCTAAACTCTCTTCTTCCTATCCTGTCCTGCCTTTCTTATCTTTCTCCATTGCTGAGTGAAGTTAGCTCACTTTCTTTTATCTTTCTGAGAATACAGCAGCTGGACCTATAGCTTGTAACACACTGTGACACAAACCACACACAAACAGTTTGTGTGTTTGTTGAGGTCATAGAAATGCTGCATTTGAAATTACCTTCCACTTAAAAAAAAGGAATTCCCTTTATGTGTGCTCCTCTTCAGTAGGGCTAGCTAGATGATGAAATACCACAACTTATGGTTACCTGCAATCATTCCGGTGTTGTGAAAAAAAAACAAAACACCACCTCACTTTTAATCCCTGACTTTGGCATCTATAGGTGATTAAAACACGAGCAGGACTGCCTCTCATGTGCTACTTTTTAGGATCAAATAAGTTTGATGTTTGGAGGCTGGCAGTGATGAAATAATAACTCGGCACAAATGCGTTAAAGCAAAAGTAGCCTGTTTTGAAAATGTAAGAAGTAGAAACTACAGATAATTGTTTAAAAATTTAGGGAGTAAAAGTAAAAATAAATAAATACTAAAGTAAAGTACAGATACCTGAAAATTGTACAATAACAAAGTACTTCCCACCCTCCCACCAGGGCTCCTTCCCTGTCTGACCATATCAGTTCACCAGCTCCAGGTGGGACGAACACCATTGGCGCACATTCGCCCAAATGGCCAGCCAATAAAATTGTGCCATTATATGCTCTAGAGTTTTGTCATATCCCATATTCCCTACCATGGGCTTATATTGAACCACTTGAAAAATAATTTCCCAATGGCTTTCAGGCACCAGCAACTGACTGTGTATCTCTTCTTTGCATGGGACTGCTCCAGTGGGAAATCTCCTATGGAGTGAATCACTGGAAATGGCGGGGCCTCACAAGATGGCCCTACTGTTTCCTCCTCCCCAGAGTCAGCATTGGATGACCTCGTGTCATCACTGAGCGCCATGAAGATACAGGTCGTTAATGCATCCCCACACACTTCCCCAACAGATTATAAAGCAGTACTTCATCAGTTCACTTTTACCTTTTCTCTGCAGGGAGCTTTTTCCATGGGACAGAAATAACTTCAGCTGTTGTGGACAAAGCCTTCTTAGGGTTTCTTCAGTTACTTTAATCAATCCCGGATTGTTATTCCATTGGTGTTGTACTATGGTAGCCTCTGGTTTTAGTGCCCTGTATGTCAGTTTTTGTAAATCAAATTCTAGGAAGCCTTCTCCGTCATAGGCAAACTGGGCCGTACCAGTCACCTCTCCAGTGTTTTCATCCCACTGACAGCCACCGTTCCTTTGCAAAAAGTGAGCTGACGAGAGAAAGAAAACAGACTGAAAATGTACAAATACACTGAGCTAATATTAGTATCAGTTTGTTTATCTATACCCATGAATTATAATGATCTCATCTGAGGTAAATAAAAAAATACTGCACCTCCCCTGTGGTTGAAGTACCGCATGAATTCCTGAATCATATTTCTAAAGATGACTGACTCTTCCACAAAACACAGATTAGTGTATTGCTCAGTGTTGTTTCCAAATATTAATTTCATCCAGTCCTGCCTTGGTTCTATTATCTTGTTGCTGTTATCACAGTAAATTATGCTAACCCCATCAACTTCTAGAACACCAAAAAAATCTGAGACGTTTTGGAGACGAGAAGATCCAGTAACAAAATCCATCAGTGAGTGTGTCACTGTAGAAGAAGAGAATGATGTTAGTGTATAATCAAATATAAAAACATTATCAAAAATATGAAGAGTAAAATGAGTTTAAAAAAAAAGGGTAAATAAACTGTTTAGTTTAGCTTGCTGTGTTGTATAAAATATATCTTCCTAATTCAGCTGCAGTGATGCCTGAGATGACAGTTTTAGTTTTTTTTAAAATTTTGAGTGTGTGTGTGTGTGTGTGCGCGCGTGTGCATGTGTGCGTGCGAAGCTTCACACTTTTAAAATGCTAAAAATTGTCATTTCCATGAGGTGAAAATCTCACTGTTATCAACAAAATAGGCTTTTATAGTCTGTAAGGCTAGTTGTGCAGACTTTGTTTATCTCTTCAGTTTGGTTTTGCTTCTGAGTTTTCTGTACAACTGTAGTTAGGAATCTTTTCATAGTAGTGGTTCTATGCCTCAACCTGTGGTATTTTCCTGGTTTCTGATTAATTTCAGATTGATGCCAGTTTGGTTTTAGGACCATCTTAAGATTTTGTGTTCCATTTCTGTCCTTATTTGTATTTCATTTCATACAATGCTCACAAAGTTAAAGGAACACTTTGCAAAGAAATCATACTGGACCTCTTCAAGGTCCAGATATCACAGCAAACCTTCTTGTAATGGCAATGCATTTTTACTTTGATATTAAAGATTTAGGTTACGTGGCACAGATGGTCAAGTAGCACTAAATTATTGGGGTAAATCCTAAACAGCAAAAAAAATGGAATTGAATCATTCACCAGTCACTGGTTTTTCATGGTTGCATGAAGGTCTATGGTCTCAACTCGGGTGACTGAAGCCTAATATTTACAATGGAATGCAAATAATATGTCTAATTACCCAAGTTCTTAATATAAATATATTTAAAAAATAAAAAGTGTGTGTGTGTGTGATCATGATCTGGCCGTTGATCCGACTGTGAAAAATATTATGTTCTTATACATATTACACACACAGATTTCAGCTTTATTTGGTGAAATACTATAATATTAGTTTCAGTCTTCAGGACCACACAACAGTTTGTATCCAAAATGCTATCCTAGTAAGCTATCAAAAACATTCTTCTTCAGCTGCCTCCAAGTCATCTGAATTATCTCACTGTTTTTAGAGACCTTCATTTGGAGGGCTTATAAAAATCTGTTCTTTATGCAACAAGTTGACAAGAAACATATTTTATTATTATTATGTTCTGTCACGATCCTGTGTCTTATGACCCAGTGTTTTGAGTTTAGTTTATTTGGATGTTTATATGATTAAGCTCATGAGTTTTTCCTATGTTCATTTGCTTATTAGCTCCCCCTTGTGTTTTCAACCCCTGTGAAGTCTCCCTTGCCCTTCGTGTGTTTCATGTCTGTGTGTCTTATGTTGTCCACGAGATCATATGTCTTATGATCTCGTGTTTTTATATTATGGATTATGTTGTGTTGTACCATGTTTCTGGTCCCTATGTTCTGTCTTCTCAGTTGCTGTTAAGTTTGCATGTTTAGAGTTCAGTCAGTGTTTCCTGTTTTCCTGTTTTACTTCCCTTGTAAAAGCCTGATTACTCCCAGCTGTGCTCTCCTTCTGTGTCTCATTCCCTCGTTATCCCTCTGTGTATTTAAGCCCTGTGTTTCTCTTTGTCAGTGTCTCCGTCATGGCTGTGTTTCCCTGTGTGTCAGTTTATCCATGCCCCAGTTTAGTTTTGTTATATTTTTGTGCCATTCTGCAATAAAGCAGCTTTTTGAGTTTTATTCCTGCGTGGTGAGTTTTGCGTTTGGGTCCTTCTCTTGCCTGCACACAGCCGAAACATGACATGTTCAGAGTTCACATGTGGGTGTAACAGGCTGCTGTTAAAATTCAAACTATATTAAGCTATGGCAGTGGTTCCCAAAATTTTTTTGCTGGGCCCCCCTTTGTTTTACAAAGTTGTTCACGCCCCCCGTGTGCATGCGCACGCATGCACACATCCTCCAACCACACACACACCCATATTTTGCTCCACTGCAGTTTATTTCACACCTCAAACATTTAGTAAACAATTAAGCAAATACAAGTAATCTGCAATAAATTACAGGTAGTAAGAAAATAAACTACTAACTCTTTTTTGTCCACACGTAAACGGCGTTTGGAATCAACGAAAACTGAGATTTTTTAAACTCCTTTTTTGCGTTTACGTGTGGACGAGGAATACAGAGTTCGTCACGTAACGTCAAAGGTATGTGCCTTTTTTTCACGTCACGCTGTGCGCACGTTATTGTTTACATGAGATGAATTGCAGAATGGCAGATAGAGACAAAATACTGTTAATCTGACTATCTGCAGGTTTTACACGCTTATACACACGCAGTTACTGTCCCTCTATTTACAAAGGCAGAGGCGTCACGGTGTAATTATTTTACGTTGTTTTTTCCTGTGTAATAATATTCAACATTGCTATCAATACATTTTTCAAAAAATGCCTCTCTGTGCAAAATGGGTTTAAAACCATAAACAGCTGTGGGATACTGTTTGTCCGTGATTTAGACAGGGGGAACAAATCGTGGCAGGATCAGCCTGATATTATTTGTATCCCGCTGTAACTTTACTGTATAAAGTACAGTATAGTATGTATATCTCCAAAATGTCAGGAGTAGTTAGTCATTACAACAAGTGTTTGTGAACTAAAAATCATGAAGCCAGCGCTGCTCCCAACGAAGGGAAAAGCAATTCTGCTGAGGAGACCTACCTCAGCACTTGTGCAGGTGAAGCCAAAGGGAAGATTTGCTTCACCATATTTTCTAGTCTTTGGCTTAGAATGAAGTTGGTTTGGAAACATTTTCAGCGATGCTTCAACTCCTGCTTTGCGTTTGTGGAGGCGCACGTGCTAGCAGTGTCCAAGCGTTTTGTTTTTTCCCCCCCTTTTCATCCCGCATCCCCCCCTGCCATTGCTCTGTGCCCCTCCCCCTAGGGGGCGGGCCCCACACTTTGGGAAGGTCTGAGCTATGACATGGCATATAATAGCATTAACATTTGACCTGCACCACTTTATCAATTATGTTGATTTTTTTCATTAAAAATCAGATAGTACAACACTATGTATTGTGGGATGGCATATTTTCACCTCTTTTCATAAAGGATGATCCAGTGTCTACTGGTAATAACAGAAGCAATGAAGCTCTTTTTCTTCATTTTAGGAGGAAATTAATAGCTCTTATTATGGCTACCAGGCAGCACTTGCTTATTACTTCTCCAGCCTAGGACTATTTTAACATACTCTTTGATTGAGTTAATATTCTCATTTACAGTCAGTGTACAGCAGTAGTTTGTTTGAATCCAGTGTAATTAAACTTGACTAAAGACAATCTTAATCTTATTTTAGTAAAGACATGTAGCAAAAGAACCAGTAAAGTCAGAAATGCCTTTTGGAAAAGGTTTAAGTCTTTGATAAATATTAAAGATATGACCAATAGTAGCTCATTTTGTTTTTTAAATGCATCGTATATCCTCTAAAATATTGTTTATGCCTTTGAATAGGAAACAATGCAATTAGGTTTTTCAAAAATACTGTAAATGTTTTGGAGGCACACTATTTGGAATTGTGAATGTACCCATGTAGAAAAATGCCAATAACTGAAAAATGAAATGGAAAAAAGCCTTTTCCTTTCATTTTTAATACTTTCATTTTTAATTATCAATATTTTAATTATTAATACTTTTCTCATTCATCTCTGAATGAAAATAGGTTTGTATTTTTATAATTCCAGATAAGGTTCAGATTAAAATGACATACAAATCAATGCATCAATGCTATTCAAGGTCAGATCAGACTGTTGTTAAAGCTTAACGCAAATAAAAACTTGCTGCTCTAGTCCAATATGCGCTGAATTTTTGACACAGAATTTGAAAGCCTAGTCATGTTTTCAGAAGAGGTTTGGTTATACTTTTTATACTCCAGAAAACCTAATTCAGTGTTTCAGCGTTAATTCAACTGTCAAGTCACAAGTACAAGTAAGTTTTGCTAAATCCCTATATACACACCAAAGTTAGAGTATTGCCTAAGAGTAGTTCATGTAATAATAGAATAGAATAACCATTTCAAGAAAATTTAAAGTTTTTACTTGTTAACTTGTTGTCTTACCTGCAGTTGCAGTGTGACAGAGGAGGAGTATCATTAGCGTCTTCATGTTTAGACAGTTGGAGCAGAATGGGAAAAGCCCTTCCGTGACGGCAGAGTTAAATTCTTTTTCAGTCTGAACTGGTTATGTGGTTTAGTTTACATTCTTGGTATTTGAGATGTCTTTAACCTCAGCTGACACTACAGCAGGTATACAAGGGTTTGGCTCAAAAGTGAAAAATAAGCACTTC